GACACCTCTTTTTATCCCCTCTATCGCATGCCAAGGTATAGCCCATAATGGTATTTTAAAATCACTTTTATAATATTTTCTCCAAACCCTAAGTAAAGAGATTCTTATAATATGAGATTTAAAAGCCCGGTCCACTTTTTTATTAAATATTAAATAGGCATGCCAACCAAAAAGTAAATCCCATCCCTCCAAATGGAGTATCTCCAAATTTGTTAAATTTACCCAATCACTAATTGATGTTAAAACCACCGCATCATAATATAATTTCAAATTCGGTACCTTGAGTCCACCTCTCTCACGGGAGTCTTGCATGATTTTAAACTTTACCCTTGGTTTTTTCCCCTGCCCAGATAAATTTGTTAATACCTTTCTGCCATTCACTTAAATTAATCTCATTCTTCAAAATCGGTAACATTTGAAACAAGAAAAGGAACTTGGGTAGAACATTCATTTTTATCACTGCAATTCTTCCCATGAGAGATAATTGCAACTTCTCCCAATTCCTCAAGTCTTTCTGTACTCTAACCCACAACCTTTCATAGTTATTCTTAAACAATTTTGCATTAGAAACAGATAAAATCACCCCCAAATATTTTACCTTATTAACAATTTCAAAACCCGTCAAATTAACCAAAATCTGCTTCTCCCGAATAGTCATATTTTTAGGTAGGATTTTAGTCTTATTAACATTAATCTTAAAACCCGAAACCAAACCATAATGTTAAGTCAACTGTAATAACTTTACTACAGAATAAGTAGGTTGCGACAAAGTAACCACCAAGTCAACTGCAAAAGCTCTTAACTTATATTCTTTTTTGTTAACTTCTATTCCTTTTATCTCCTGCGACTCTCGAATTTTAATCAACAATATTTCCAATGTTAAAACAAACAGCAACGGTGATAATGGACATCCCTGCCTAGTACCTTTCTCTATTGTAAAAACCTCTGACAAACCTCCATTAACAATAAGTTGTGCCGTTTGTTTTTGGTATATTGCCGTAAGAGCTTGTAATATCTTTTCACCAAGATTCATCTCTTCAATTACTCTTAACATAAAATGCCAATTCAATTGATCAAAAGCTTTTTCAGCATCTAAAAATATCAGCCCTGCAGAAACTTGATTATTCTTATCTAGATGTTCTAATAAGTTAATAATTTGTCTAGCATTATTTTTCATGTACCTACCAGTTATAAACCCAGATTGATCCTTGTGCACAAGATAATGCACAACCCTCATAAGCCTATTTGCTAAAATTTTTGCAAATATCTTATAGTCAACATTTAAAAGAGATATAGGTCTATAATTCTTTGGTAAAGTAGGATCTTGATCCTCTTTTGGGATCAAGGATATAAAAGCACTACGCCATGAAGGAGGAATCTCTGAGCCCTGTCTTGATTCATGTCCTCCTTCAGACCCCTGATCCTCAGGGCGTGCTCCATCTCCCTATACTGAGACATAAGGATATCTTCTTGTGAAATCACCATCTTCTTTTCCATATCTTGAAATTTATCCTCAAAAAAGTCAACTTTGTCTGCGACTTCCTCCACTCTCGAGTCCAGCTTCACCACCACAGAAGCCAAACCTGATAAGGCTGTAACTATATCTTGCCGCATAATAGTATTATTATCCTCTAATGAGTCCTTGATTTCATTTAATTCCACTTTAATTTCAGATTTAATCTGTACAACAAGTTGCTTCATTTCATCTCTAATTTGAGATACAGCATCTCCCATTATGTCTTTAATCTCTTGTGCAGACAGGCCTGGCAAAGGAGGGGAAGGTGGTGGCTGGGTCGGTGGTACATGTTTAGGTTGTTGTTGTTGTTGTATGGTTAAAGTTGTGGGAGAGGAAACCACCTTGGGTAGTATAGAAGGCGGTTGTCTCTTTGAAGCCATTTTTTAAAACACAGTTCTCTCTTCCCTTCTCCCCAAAAAAAGGGAAGGGGGAGATAAAAATTAAAAGGAACAAAAATACTGTAATCCTTAGAATTCCGAAAAAGAAAAAAGAGAAAAAATCAAGAAAAAGATCCAAAGCTGAGAACAAGGAAATCAAAAACAGTCATTTAAGTCCATTACCTTCCAAGAAAAATAAGAACAAAGAGACAAAGGAAAAAAAAAAAAGCCGAACACTTTCAAAGCGCTATCTTTTTCTCTCTCCGTGCCAGCAAAAAAGAACAAAGGAGAAACAACCAAAACTAACTAGAAGAGGAAAATAAAACACTAAACTATAAAAAGAAATCCTTTAAACCGCTCTGTCCGCTTCAAAAGTTACTCACCGAGATTCTTTAACCGCGGAGATAGAAGCGGCGGTTCCTTGTGCTTCCGAAGAAGCAAAAACAGCTGGGAGGCGGAGATCAGCAGGAGCTCCGAGGGAACGCTCCTTCCACCCCCTCAAGGAAAAAATCCAGAGGGGGTTCAGGGGTTCTACCTCTACTCCTGCGTTCTCTACCCCTTCCCTTTGCCCGGGAAGGGGATTCCGAACCGCGGGCCAGCTGGTGCGCGCTGTGCTCCGCGGCTCTAACACCTTCCCAGCTGGACGGCTACAAGGTAGCCGCCATCATCGCCGCCACGTACCAGAAGCTCCCTAAATTTGCCTTTGTTTTAATGGTAAACTTGATGAAATGGTATTAGCAGGTTCAGTAGTCAGTGGTAAAACAAACAACAATGACTCCCAGGATTACGGTTAACATTGTGATGGTTCCCACAATTTGATAAAAGCCTTTAAATTTCCTGAGTAGGATGCTTGGAACGGGTAGTAATGTAAGATCTGAATATTGCAACAATTCAGCAAAGCCATTACAAGGGGTGTCTGCAGGGTGTGATTTTAAAAAGTTAGCATTACAACATGAAGATTACAACACTGAACAAATTTCATGATGCCATTTTTAGTTTTTTTCAAGACTGCCCTACAGATACCTGGTCATTACTTAACTCCTTCCTCTCAATTCTGGGCTCTGTTGAAAACTGAGATTGCTACTATAAATAGAAAGGGTAAGAACAGCTGGCTTTTAAAGCATTTTTTGCAGCTGACCTGATATTCTGGTAGGTTACAATATGAAAGAACTTCTTCTTCTTCTTCTTCTTTAAAAGATAGTCTTGTTAATTCTCTCCAAAAACAGGTAACTTAATCTGACTGCCCCCGAAAGAAGCTGTGAAGTCATTTTTATACAGCTTGTTTCAGTAGGAAGCTCTGCCACTTGAAGCAAGAAAAATGATTTTAATATAAAACATAAAGTGATTTGGAGATTAGTAGCATTTTGGACTAAAGATTAAAACCAATGTTTTATTACTAAAGAAAATATTCAAATTCCTCAGGACAAATATGCATAGGTAGATTGCAAGAAAGGAAACAGTTTCTGTGAAATATTATTATTTCCTAATTTTAACTTTTTCTGGGGAGGATGGATGGAAGCCTTTCATTCTGTAACTTTGTTAAAGCTATTCATTGGTCCCAATGTTAAAAGGAACTCCAACCTTCAATTAAATCCCAACAGGATCCATAATGACAATTTCACATGGATTTTTTTTTTTTTAGATCATGAACCAAAAGAAACCAAGGAATTGCAGAGTTTATTATAGTTTAAAAATATAATTATTTATTGTACAGAATCATGATCTATAAAAGGAACTGGGAGTTCTAGGATGACATGTTTGGGGAAAGAGAGCCAGTTTAGTGTAATGTTTAAAGGTACTATTGATAGACTAGAAGGTGAAGGATCCTAATTCTGATTCTGCCTTAAGCATAGAAATTGGCTAGTGAGTCTGGATCAGCTCCTTTCTCTCAGCTATAAGAAGAAAGCAATAGCACAGGATTGCTGAAAGTTCTTGGACCTGTCCTCCAGGAAACAAGACTATCTGAAAGGCACAGAGAGAGAGAGACAGAGACAGAGACAGAGAGAGAGAGAGAGAGAGAGAGGCAGAGACAGAGAATCTTATTCTAGAATACCTAATTAGGATCAAGGATATATAAAGACAGAATAAATTTTACTAACTATGTTGCAAGTTTCTTATGTTAACAAAATGAGTGACAGTACTTCTTTGAGAATAATAAATCTTTTCACAAGCAGCAGGCATGGCATATGGACTGAAATCTGCAGGAGGAATGAATTATTCTGAGGACCTGGCTTAGGAATGGTCTCACTGGAAGCAAGTCAAGCTTTATTTAGGCATGACTCTGGCTAAATGGGAATCAACAGAAAAGTTAAATTTATTTTACTGTACTGTAGATCAGGATAGAAGCATGTATTAGTCTACAACTCATCAGTAACTCTATATATCAGTCTACCAAAAGCTTTGGAAGCTATTTCCCCAAAGTGCAATGGGAGAGTAGAGATATATTTTCAAGAAATAAGCAGGACAGAGAAAGATTGGAGTGCTGTGTCACAATAGAAAGAGTATAGAGAAAAGCAACAAAGATGATTAGAAGACCGAAGACTAAAATATATAAAGAAAGGTTGCTGGAATTGGGTATGTCTAGTTTAATGAAGAGAAGGATGAGGGGGGACATGATAGCAGAGTTCCATATCTCAGGGGTTGCCACAAAGAAGAGGGAGTCAAGCTATTCTCCAAAGCACCTGAAGGTAGGACAAGAAGGAATGGATGGAAACTAATCAAAGAGAGAAGCAACCTAAAACTAAAGAGAAATTTCCTGATAATTAGAACAATTAATCAGTGGAACAACCTGTCTTCAGAAGTTGTGAATGCTCCAACACTGGAAGTTCTTAAGAAGAGACTGGACAACCATTTGTCTGAAATGGTATAGGGTTTCCTGCTTGAGCAGGGGGTTGGACTAGAAGACCTCCAAGGTCCCTTCCAATTCTATTATTATTATTATTATTATTAACATTGATAATTTTCTATTAAAAATATCAGTGGCAAGTTTATCAAAATTTATCTTTATACCTTACTAGAATAGTAAAGTTCGACAAGAGTCAAACCTGACATTTTTTAAAAAAACAGTATCCCATCATCATGACAGTTGTATTAGAAGAATAACTTACTGTCCTTGTATGGTGTGAAGTTAAGATATATCCAGTGCGATTGTTTATGCTCAAATTCAGCTCTAATTCTTAAATGAGAAAGACCATATTTAGGTATACTTGAAATATTGCACTCTGTGAAGTATGTTCTTCGGCACAAGTCAATGAATTCTGACTTCAAACTATTTTTTAAAAAGAAAACAAAATTATTACAGCTTTCTTTCATATGCTGAATAATTATATTCATTTTCAGATTGATCTTATATTAACAGAAACATCTCATACTGATTAGAATAAATATTTTATGCATGTCTACTAAGAAGTCCAGGATGAATATTAGATAAAAATTAGCTGAACTTTAGCCATTTAATTTGACAGTTCATTTGTGATGTAGAATATTACATAGAAAAGTATTTCCTTATTTATATTCTTTTTAATTGAAGCAAACAATATTATCAAATAAAGATGGAAACAAATAAAGAAAAGGACAAAGCTAAATGTGAACCACACACATCCCAATAAAAAGCATGTTTAAAAATTAAAAAGCAATTTACAGAAGTAATACCAATATTAAAGATTTCTATCTTCAGATAAATTTGTACAATGAAGATAATATTCTAGAAATAAGTTATTAATATCTATAAATGATGAACAAATTTCAATGAAGTTATTCTTAACTGTAAAGTTCCTCCAAAATCTTTGTGTTCTGAATGTTCTTCTTTGTTGATGGAATGTATATTGCATTGCACAGTAGTCTCTGTATTAGAGATCCTAGCTGGCATAGAATATTATGAACATGCTTTGAATAAAGCAAGGCTTTGTGGCATATTAGTCAAATTTGCAAACCTGATTATTTTGTCCTTATCATTAGCCTAACCTATGCTTTTTTTAAAATGTTACTAAAATATTATGTGTTTGTGAAACTAAGAATAAGGGAAATGCAACAATAGATCTAAATGAAGGTGACTTGGTATTGTGAAGTACAGCTGATAAATAATTGTGTGATGAGAAGTTTTGAATATGGGACAGGCTATTTTTGATAATATCAGAAGTGGACCGGGGGGGGGGGGGGATGGACTTGAAAGAAAAGGAAAGAAGTGGAAGAATGAAACTTGAGTAATTGCAAGAATTGTGACTAGAAATTATATGTAAACTAGTGTTAGAAATTGGTTAATATCCTACCAGTAACAGAATCAATGCAGAACATAAAGAAAGTTAACGAGGAAGTTGTTACAAAGTGCCCTAAGAGTGTTTGGAGTTACACTAATGGAAAAATATGAAAAAGGATGCTTTATAGGATAATGAAATGAAAGAGACTTATATATGAGGAAAAATGGATAAAAGCGAATGATGGCTAAAATGAGAATGAAAGTGAAGTTTTACAATAAGCCTCCAGCAGAATGAATAGAGTTAAAAATAAAAGTGAAATTATCTGGATGAAATCAAAGTGAAACAAAGCTAGAAACATATGTTACAGATTTATATGAGTTTAATAGTATTGTATTGAAGAGTGAAAGGAAAATGAAAAGGAAAAATGGATAGAAAAGAAATCATTTGCTATAAGAATGTTTAAAAAATGGTAAAGCTTCATGTGCAGATGGTGTAACTGGAAAAATGTTAAAATGTGGAGTGGCTGTTAGAGCTGCTTAAGTTTGAGCTGAGTCTGAAGATTGCACCTCTGACTGACAATTGGAAGAATGCTTTTGTTAATATCTTATATAAAGGGAAAATAAAGGGTCAGTGTAAAAACTGAAGAGGAGTTAGTTGATTAAGAATTCCTGGAAGTTTGAGAAAATTCTTAAATAGGTTCAATTTTTATTGAATGGATATAATGGGGAAGCCACATTTGGGAAACACAGCTTGGCTTTATGTCAGACAACAGGTATGCAGACCATATATTTTTTTTAAACAAGAATAAAGTATATGGAAAGTTAACAAGAAAATGTGTATTGATTTAGAAAAAGTATATGATAAAAGCAATAAGTTTCAATTATGGAACCTTTTGTGTAAATGTAGTGATAAGAGCAGCATATGATGGGAGATCATGAGAAAATAAATGGTATATCTGGTGAATGGTGAGCAGAAAGTAAAGCAAGAATATGTAATTTGCTCTAGGCTGTTTAATGCATGCATTAACAAATATGCAAAAATGCATAGTGGTGTTAGGGATGTGCTTATTAGGGACACAAATGCATGAACCTCTGTATACATACAACAGTGGACTGTTGGCTGAGAACTCAAATGATTTACACTCAGTATACAGTATAAAATCAGCCAATCCTATAGGAAATCAACTCTGTTCTTTGGAAAAACAGATACTGAAGCTGAAGCTCAAATACTTTGGCCACCAAATGAGAAGAAAGGATTCATTGGAAAAGATTCTGATGTTGGGAAAGATGGAAGGCAAAAGGAGAAGGGAAATGCAGAGGATGAGATGGTTAGATAGTATCATCAATGCAAGGGACATGAATTTGGGCAAACTCCGGGAGGACAGCCCCCCCCCCCTCAGCGTACTATAGTCCATAGGGTTCCGAAGATTTAGCAACTAAACAATACAATACAGTATAATGCAACATGGATTATGGATCTGTAAAAGAATGTATCAAAGATAGTTATGTTGGCAAAAAAATGACATGAACAAATGCATATGACAGCAAGTAGGTTAATCTACTGCAGCAAACAGATTAATTTTTATACCTTGGCAAAATGTTTATTAAGAAAAAGAAATGGGTAAAAACATTTTAAGATTTACACGACAATGTGAGATGCAAAGAACTGATATTTGTAAAAATAAATAAAATGTCTGTAAATAATAATGTATTTTTCCTGCACTTTGTTGCATGCGAATGGGAATTAGATTGTTAGGAGGAACATAAAAATAATGTGAATGCAGTGTGTAATGATAAAATAAGATGAAATAGAGTTCAAGCATAAATGTGAATTTCAAAAGTGGTTTGCCATTGCTTGCTTCCTAGGGCTCAACCACCCAGCTAGCTCTGTGTCTAAGATTCACAATCTCTTGGTTTCTAGCCTGGTGTGTTAACCACTACACCAGACTGACTCTTACTCCACTTACTCCAATGATATTTTACCTTTACCAGCTCCTTATAATATATTAAGATAAATTGGGTAGAAATATTAAATTAATTAATTTTTAATGTCAAAAAGTTGAGGCAATAGGGATAGTTCCTTACACAGTTCCTATCATTTTCAGTTATAAGGTATTTTATACTTGTTTTGTTGTTTCAGCAGATATTCTCTGTTAAAAAAAAAAGATGTAAAAGAAGCAATCAGAAGAGATTTCATATGAAGACATCATAATTATATCTCCAAAAAAACCTTATATTTGATAATATACCTGATATTTTGTTTTTAAAGTTGCATGTACATGTAAAGTTCATCCAATTAATGTTTGTAGTAAACCATCACTGGATACTTTTTAAAAGGTTAAAGAACTTTTGGAATACATGCACAATATAATTCAAATTTCATATTATAAGTTGTTATCCAAAGAAATTTTCCTCCCGTATAAATGGATGGGAAAATAAATTGAGAGAATAAACTAGAATGTTGTTATACAACATTCAGTTGTATAACAACATGTGAATAGCATGAAAGAAGCAAATTATATTTTGGTATGTATTGTGAAAATTATCCATTCTTACGTTTACCTTTTAAGTTGAACTGTATAGGTTACATTTCCTTCAGAAAAATTTGATGGATCCCACAGGAGAACACTATCAAGCATAACTGAATTAAATCGTATATTTTGAGGCTCTTGTATAATTGCATGTACTGTAATATGCAAAGAAGAGATACTGTTCAATGTATGATCTTGACATTCTTTCAGTGACGGAATAAACAATTCACACACATATACGTTTCAACATATATAGTTAATTATTTATATTCATATAATTTCAAAACAATGTCAATGCAAATCTCAGCTGTCAATAAAGAATAAACGTGGTGTCCAAACTCTGAATCCTGTTGCCATTTTGAAGATTCTTGAAAACAGGATTCCTGAAGTCCTACAGTTCAGAGGCTCAGTGCACCGTTAACACGTGAGGGGGGGGGGGCAAACACTGCCGCCACTTTCGGCCAGAGAAAGGTCGCCGAACTTTTCCAGAATCCCTCTGCCTACTTCTAACGGCTGCGAAAAATGCGCCTTTTCCAATCTAGCTTCGCTCCTCCTTTACCCAACTTACTTGACCAGAAGACGCAGCCGCAAATTAGACACCACCAGCTTCTCGGGACCATTCTCGGCTACCATCGCCAATCGCCGTCCTGGCTTTGCTTCGCCCCTGTCGGAATAAGGAGTCTTCTACGCGCAACGTGCACTTAGCCCCGTGGTGAATTCCTCAGGAATAGGCTGGGGCGCCCACTTCTTGGCAGCGTCTGGTCACACTGGGGCGCCTTCGCTGTCTGCCTTCACTTTGTTGAGCGTTGTTTCTCTCGTTACCCGAAACTCACCGCGCTCTTTCTACAACACTGCCCTTGTTTGCTTTTTCTCGAGCTCCAGGTGACCCTTGGCCCCTGAACAACTGAGGCAGCGGGGCCGTCGCAGTAACAAACCAGAGTAATCCCTCTTTCGGTAGTTACAGAAGGGGAAAAGCAAAGCTCCTCCGCCCCCAGCGCGCTCTTTCCGTCTGCCGAGCCAGCACCCCACATCAAAGCTCCACCTACGTCACGGGAGCAGCACCTTCTATAGGTGACACCTTTCGGTTTCTTTCCAAAGTGAGGGCGAAGGAGTGGCTCGGTAGTAGCCGCTGCCGCAAAGCCTGGTGTGTGTTTTTTTTTTTGGCCCCATCTGGTATCACCGACTCCGTCTTTCTGGGTATTTAAAGCAAATAAAGCGATGTGTAAATTACGGGGGATAGAATGGAGGTGGAGAGGCGGGAGTCTGTGTATCTTGCAAATTGTGGCGAAGCAGGTAAAAAGACTGTAGTTTGCGACTGTTGATATCTAACCAAATCACATTGCTTGAGGAAAGTGTAGGTGCAAAAGAGTTGTAATGCTGGCAAACCTAGAGTGAGATGGTTCTTTCTCACTGTTAATGCATTTCCGTTTTTTTATTCCACTAACACTAACTGATCAGTGATCCTCCTTGAGATTGCTGTCTTTCCTTTCAAATCAGGAAGGTCCTTGTTTTTAAAAATAAAACATGAAGAGAAAGGGTATTAATTTACCACATTCCACAAAGAGGAAGTATATTAACTAAGTTTTCTCTCCTGTTTTCAATATCATGCAAGATGGTGCAAGCACCTGCATATTTATTTTGGTGTTTTTTTAAAGTGTAGTCTGTCAGCTGCTAACATCCAGTGTTCTAGCTTTGCCAACAAATGGAAATGTAGCCATCTTTTCTCTTTCCCTTTTAGAGTTAGTTGGTGTTGGGAGGGAGTGTGTGGATGAGAGTCCAGTTAGTCATAACAATAATAACTCAGTTGTGGGAATCTAAGGTTATTGCAGCCAAAGTTGATAAAGATTTGGCAGGCTGGAGAGCTGAGGAGAAAGCCCACGCTTCAAGCTAATTTGGGACTGTGATTTATGACTGTTAATTGGAGGAGGAATTGTGCTTTATGACTTTGTGCCTAGGGGAGGGGAATTAAGTTTTTGGCTTTAACTATGTAGTGCTGATACTTTGTTTCTCAAATAAAAGATTTTTTTAAGGTAAACAATTCCACAAAGTTCTTTTGAAGAGTTTCATCTGTTGAAACCATGACGTAGTCCTTTAAAGTCTTTTCTCCTTTTCATCTAACCATAGCACAAACATGTTTTGGAAATATCTCTTTTCGGCCACACCCCAGGACTGTATCTTTATCTCATCCCTAACTCATGAGAAAAGTTTCAGTGTTTCTCAACCTTGACAATTTTAAGGCATGTGGACTTCAACTCCCAGAATTCCACAGCCAGCAATGAAACTGGCTGTGGAAACACTTTAACTCATCTTTAACTGCAACAATATCACAATATTATTTTAACACTGGCCGGTTGCATGTTGCGAAGGCTGCACCCACCCCAGCTCCAGCAATGTGAAAAGTCTTCTCTTACAGAGAAGAGATAGATGAAATCTGAAAAATTTTTCTCACTTGAGATAGTTTAAAAATAGAAATAGGAACTAGTATTGCAACAGAAAGTCAGAAATGCAAGACTTTCACAGCTGATGCATGTGGTTGGAAATCCCCTCATGAAATGCAGATATCCATAGGATCATGTTGTAAAATTAAAGATGAAAAATTCCCCTCTGGAAAATCCAAGATTACCAGTGATTCGCCATTTCAACGCATTTTAATGCTTAGTATTGCATAACACTGTTGCAAGGCTCGAACATTTTACTGCTTAAAACAAAGTCATAATTTTATACTGGGATGGAATATGATTTGCCATCTGATATGATTTTAATAAGGTAAATTAGGAAGTACAAATACCATAAAGGGCTCAGGAGGGGCAGTTTAGGGATTACTGTTCTTCCCTCATAAAGCATAAATGGGGAATTCAGGAACTTTCACTATTTTAGATTAATTAGCTTGATTTTTATCCTGCTTTATTATTTTTATAAATAACTATGGGAACATACATAATACTCTTTCTTCCTTCCATTTTCCCCACAACAACAACCATGGGAAGTGAGTTGGGCTGAGAGGGCATCAGTGGCCCAGAGTCAGCCAGCTGACTTTCATGCCTAAAGTGGGACTACAATTCACAGTCTCCTGGTTTCTAGGCCAGCCCCTTAACTACTATACCAAACTGGCTTTGAAGTAATCATAGCTTTATGACACCCAACCCAAACAATCTGCAATTTGGTTTATTAAGGTTGGTGATAATCAAATTTTAAGCCATAGTATATGAAGGCAGTTTAATTAATAACTCTGTTATTAAACTGTTTGACACAACTATCCTTTTTCCTGGTCTCAAATAATGTTATTATCCCTATTAAAGAAAACCAGGCTCTCTTGTATCACACAAGTGTCTCAGCTGTGGCCATTTCAAACTGAATCTTTGACTCACAAACAACAATTATAAATTGTTCCACTAACCCCAGAATATGCCCAAATTACCTTCAGTTCAAGAACCATGATGATAGCCACTCTAAGAGTAATTGTATATATGTGCCTCTGTCACCTATAAGGTGTCTCTGGGTGACTGTATAAAATGGAGGTGGATTGACTTCAAAAGCAATTTGAATCAAATTTGACTTTTGGTTAACCACCAGTACAGATTTCTTGGCAACTGTATAAGGTGGCTCACCATTGCTTTTTTTCAGAATGTTTTTCTCCCAAATTTCTCAATGAGCCTATAACTCTAGTACTCTCTAGTCTGCCTTCCAAGTACTAACCAGGTCCAAATTATCTTAATCCTGGAACCCAAACTGAGTCAAGTGCTGCTACTGCTAAGATGTAGAGCAGGAGTGTCAAACTGCCGGCCCGTGGGCCAGTATGTGTCATCCAAAAGCTGTGCCCACCCCATTGCTGGCAATGGCAAAACCGTCCTGATACGTTGTACGACGTCACATGATGTCGCGAGTTTGACATGTCTGATGTAGAGTGTCTTAAAAACATAATTTGGAATTTAAAGATAGAGGTCTTATTTAAAATATAGTATGTGAACATTAAAAATAAACAGAACAACTACAGATTGATTTGAAAACTTTGTTACAATACATTCATTCAAAATATTAATATATTTGAAGGTCTGGAGAACAAAAATAGCTTTGGAACACTGTGGAGGGTATTCACAAACTGAGGGGCTACCCTAAAAATGTCTGCTTCTACACAATTTGTCATTTCCTCTCAGCATGAGGAGGCCCAGAACAGAGTTTTTGTTCTAGGCTATAGGAAGGCACACATGGGAAGAGTATTCTTTTAGATAGTATGTTTGCAGGCCATGAAGAACTTCTTGTTAAAGCAGCACTTTAAAGTTGACAAAATATAATACTAATCCTTGAGAACCCTTTTGAGTGTAAAAGAAATTGATCGTGTTTCAGTGAACTTCGGTCTTCAGCATTCATCCCTGCTACTGTTGATGTAACCATGATTTGTATAGAATTTTTCTCCATTTTATGAAAGATCAATAGATGTATGGTGTCATTAGACATATCTGCATCTTTTGCTTGCCATAGCACAAAGAAATCCCATCAACTATTTGCAGAGGACATATCCTCACTATATTTTCTCCATCTCACTGCCATCCTGAATTTGAACTAAGGTACGCAGGCATAAAAGTAGTATTTTCACTTATATTTTAATAGAAGACTACCTATATGGACATTCTAAAGCGCACTGAAAAGGAGCACTTGGAATCTGCCAAGATGCTGAAGTCTTATTAGCCTGGTAAGTCTCCAATGGGACCATCCCCTTCTGATTGGTCATCAGGTCCTCTACTTCTATGACTATTTTAGTTGTGGCTATAAGGTCAGATTTATTGATTGTGCAGACTATTTATTTTTCCTAGCATGGGAATAACAACCTAGTTAGAAATGAAACTGCTATGTCCCATTTCTAAGCAAAAATAAACTAGTCTCTTTATGTGATCCTTGGCATTCATTAAGCTCATGAATTAACAATACATTTGTCACTTTTGGTAAAAAGATCAAGTTTCTATGGTTCCTCCTTAGTGAGCTGCAAGCTGCAAGTCCCTGCATACTGACCACCCTATATTACCAAGACAGGCATGGATTTTCTGCCAGCTAATGCTACCAGCTCATTGTTTTATATTACTTTCATTCTCTACTCCTTTGCTGTTGTAGGTGGGATAAACATTAATCTTGGGGGCTTTCTCCCCAATTGTTCTTGCATGTTAGAATGCTCCCCTCTCTCTTTCAGCATTGTGTTGCTTGGTGTATTTGCCTGAATTATGTGATCACTTGGAGGATATGTAGAACTGGGAAAGCAGTGCTTTTATACTGAACTTTTAATAGAATGTTGAACTCTTTCAGGAGATCAAAAGGTTGTTATATACCTGGAGCTTTTTAGAAATCATTGTGATTTCTGAGACTTCTGGTCTTGCATCATAGCGATGCGGCCAATGGATTGCAGGGTTCCGCACCCCCTGGTTTCACCCTTCCAGGGGACCCTAAATGGGTTGAAAGTCACCCCGGAGAGGCGATGAAGAAAGAGCCCCCCCCAATGGTTGTGGAATGATGGCAGTCGATCCGTTTGATTTGGGATGAATCCCTCTAACCCGACAGGAGAAAGGCTAGCCACACCTTGCTGACTAGCCCAAGCTACTGGCAGCCGAAGTTCAAAAGCACTAAGCAGAACAACTGTGAACAGTGTGCATGGAACTGGGTCAGAATATCGATCTTCTCTCTCCTATTTTGTAGCTGATTTTCTGGAAAAGATCCCCAAGAAGCAAAAAATCCTCCAAAAGTGAGAAACGAGGGGACTACACCCCCACCCTTCCAAAGACGTTAGCAGTGAATTAATATTTATGGGAAACAGAAATATATTGAAATAGTTAATACTACAGTCTGGATAAATCTAAAAATTATGAAAACTGTTAAATTCCACATCCGAAAGAGTATTGATAAAATTATAAGGAAATAATTCTTTGTCTTAAAAGTTGGAAAATGAATAGCTACTGCCATCTAGTGGAGGATTAGAGCATAAAACTACAGCTGCATTGACTCAAATTGGCAAGATGCCCAGAAATAGAGAAAAACTTGTTCTTTTGAACCTCAGACACTTTTAGCCAAATAAAGAACAGCTGGGAATAGAGGAAAG